AGGTCAGCAGGGGTGAGCATCCGTGTGGTTGGGCTCTGCTCCCTCAGTAAGGGGACACTGAGGCAGTGGAGCTCCGGCTTCGACTGAGGGGGTGGCATGGGCTCCCAGCAAAACCTGGCTATAAACTGGACAGTGGAAGGGTGGCCTCTGCTCTGACCTGTCACTGTCTTCCCTGAGCGGCTCTGCTTGGCCAACGCTGAGCTGTTCATAGTTGTCCCACACTGGCTCACTCTGTGCTTCTCGCTAGATGGCCTAGAAGACCACGGCCCTCTCTGCTCCTCAGGCCGGGAGCTGTGCTCTGGTCAGTAAGCTGCGGCTGCTGGAACTTCTCTGACTGCGGAGGCCACTTCCACTTCCAGGCTGGCTGAACACTCACCAGTTTTCTGCTTGCTCTTTAGTGGCTCCTCCTTGTAGCTCAGCACCCCATGAGGCTGAAGAGGCGGCTGCTCAGCTGTGGCTGAAAGTGAGGAAGCTCCCTTTAGGGGGTAAGGGTTGGAGCTTGAGATGAAAACTGTTTGGTGCTGCTTGGCTTCACATTTTCCCCCGAAGTGAAAACCCAGCTGGTTTGCTCCCCTGGTTTGTCTCTGAGGCGGTATCTGGTATTTATAGAAGACCGAGCCAAGGGCCAATCAGCTCAGAATGGAAATGCCTGAGCTGGAGTTCTCTGGAGCAACTGTCTCCTGGCTTTCTCTCTCCCTGGAGTTCAGCTAAGGTTTTCTCTCGAAAACTTTCAAGCCCTGTGAAGTTTGAAGCGATACAAATGGGGGAATGGACCCTCAAGCACACTGACTGTCTTCTGTGAGCATGGACATCTTGTGTTTTTTAATGGTGATGGCAACAAGGTAGCTAGAAGAGCTCAGAGAACGGTCCAGTCAGGGGCGTCAGGAGCAGCTGCAGCGGCCAGCTCTCAGGGTGATGGGCACTGCCTCCTGCGGCCCAATGGGGGGCATCAGGAGCAGCTGCAGCGGCCAGCTCTCAGGGCGATGGGCATTGCCTCCTGCGGCCCAATGGGGGGCATCAGGAGCAGCTGCAGTGGCCAGCTCTCAGGGTGATGGGCATTGCCTCCTGCGGCCCAATGGGGGGCATCAGGAGCAGCTGCAGCGGCCAGCTCTCAGGGCGATGGGCATTGCCTCCTGTTCCTGCAGCCTCTAGGACCTCCTGCTTCTGAATTATGTGCCTGTGCTAACCTACTGGGCAGGAACCAGAATTGTTGTTTTTAGTATGTACCTTCCAGCTGCAAGAAAAAGGAATGGTGGGATAGTTGACATTTTAAAAGACAGCTGGAATGAGTGAGATATCAACTGACACATTCAGTAAATGTCATCACTTTTGTTCCTCTTCCGCGTTCCGCGCTAAAGTTATTCTAGATTAATTACCCGGCCACTTGATTTATTCCTTACATCCCCCTCCCTGCTCTCGGCCACCCTCTCCAGGACTAAGAGCAGCACAAGTGGGCGGGCGCGGTGGCTCACGCCTGTAATCCCAGCACTTTGGGAGGCCAAGGCGGGTAGATCACGAGGTCAAGAGATCAAGACCATCCTGGTCAACATGGTGGAACCCCGTCTCTACTAAAAATACAAAAAATTAGCTGGGCACAGTGGCGCATGCCTGTAATCCCAGCTACTCGGGAGGCTGAGGCAGGAGAATTGGCTGAACCCAGGAGGCAGAGGTTGCGGTGAGCCGAGATCGCGCCATTGCACTCCAGCCTGGGTAACGAGCGAAAACTCTGTCTCAAAAAAAAAAAAAAAAAAAAAAAAGAAAGAAAGAAAAGAGCAGCACGAGTTACCCAGTTGTAAAGGCTTAGTAGGGGCCTTCAGAGAAAGAGGAGGCTGTCCAGGCAGCTAGGCTGCAGGACGTTCTCATGGTGGGGTCAGAAGCCAAGCCTGACCACTGCTATGAAAGTTGTCATCCCTCTGTTTTACAGACAAGGGAAGTGAGGCTCAGAGAGGGTAAGTGATCCAGCTAGGGCAGACTGGGGAGGCTTGAGGAGCTGGAATTTAACCCAGGTCTTCTGGCTCTAGGCTCTTGAGCTTATCAAATGTATTGGTGTCAAAGAGACAAATCTATTTTCACATGCCAGGTAGCGACGGGGATTAAATGAACTGGAGAATACAATTTCACAGCCCCTTGTTGCCCCCACTTCCTTGTCAGGGAGAGGGAGAGCCAGGAACTGGAGGGCAGCTACGTGTTAGCGTCTGGGAGGCACATGAGGAATCAGTCTGCACAGTACATCAGGTATATTTGGATCATTCAGCAAAGAAAGTTCTTAGTAATTTAAGGAAGAAAATGCATGAAGTTTGTCTGGCTCTTTGATTTCACAATCCATTTTAACTGCTGTGTGTCATTGTTGGTCATTTTTCCAGAGAGATGGAAGACCATGGTACAAAGGGCCATAGCCCTTTCAACTGCGATTAACAAGTCCCCTGTCATCTCAGGGACTCACATTTCCACAAACAGAATTTCTAGCCCCAGATTTTCATTCCTTATTTCCCCAGCCTGAAGGTTCCCATAGACCTGGCCCAGGCACAGATTGCAAGGTGAAGCCACACAGAAAGGCAAAAATGTTACATGGCTTAGGAAAGCCTGGGGCGTCTGCCCACATTGGTGCTCTGTGTCTCTCTGGATAATCTCTGATGTGTCACCAAAGTTCCCCAAACTGTGTGGAAACAAGAGCCACCTCAGGGAAAAGAGTCACATATCCTCTCCATTCCTCCCCTCATTACTAATGTACTGTGAGTTTGTTGTCCTCAGCTGAGATCGCTGCAGGAGGTGATTCACAACTCTGGTACTGAAAGGAAAGATGCAAGAAGGCAGGAGGGATGAGCTAGCCTGTGGGAGTGCCTGAGTTTGCAGAGTTCCTCTGAACCCTCCATATTCTGTGTGCCCTCTCCTGTGGCAGCTCATCAGTTCATCACCAAATTTCCCTTTTCATCAAGTGTCTCATGGCTCGGGTTTTGTCTGGAGCTGCATATTGTAGTGTGATGAGCTCTCTTGCCGTTTTTTTTTTTGAGACAGAGTCTCGTTTTGTCACCAGGCACCAGGCTGGAGTGCAGTGGCGCCATCTCAGCTCACTGCAACCTCCACCTCCTGGGTTCAAGCAATTCTCCTGCCTCAGCCTCCCGAGTAGCTGGGACTACAGGTGCATGGCCCCACCCCCAGCTAATTTTTTATTTTTAGTAGAGACAGAATTTCGCCATGTTGGCCAGGCTGGTCTCCATCTCTTGACCTCGTGATCCAGCTGCCTCGGCCTCCCAAAGTCCTGGGATTACAGGCGTGAGCCACTGCGCCCGGCCTCTCCTGCCTTTTTGAAGCTCAACAGTGCTTTTCAGTAGAGCTGCAAAGTTATACTGACTTCATTCTTCTTTGCATTATCCATCATTTGCATCATCATCAATGCGGCGTGACTGGCTGGAGTTGGGTTTCACGGGCAGATCCCACAACTCTTTAGCGGCTCCTGGAGGAGTAACTGGTATGGGGGATCAAATTAGCGTGCATGACTGATGGTTTTCAAAGAGGCCATCACTGGGCCCTCTTCCTGGAAGGGATGAGGCTAGGGTTTCAGAGGGTACCTTTAGGAGTATACCATGAAGGGATATGCATAGATGTCTGGGTTAGGTAATACTTCTCTAGGATGTCTTGAATCTCTGATACATTTCGAGCTTTGCTCTTGCCGTATTACTGAGTAATTTCCTATTTCTTCATTTGTCTCCTCTGAATTGTGAGCTCCTGAAAAAGCTATGTTCTATTAGAAGGCACTTAGCATCATGCTTAAGCATGTGAGCTCTGGGATTTAATTATCTGGGTTCAGTTTCATGATCTTGGGCAAGCTCTTCACCCTCTTATGGCTGGAAGGAGAATTGGAGGAGATTTTGCATGGAAAGCACTTAGAACAATGCTTGGCATGGCGTATAGTAACTGCTTAGTGTATGTTAGTTATTAGTATTCTTAAATTTGCATGTCCTCAGCTCTAGCATGATACCTGATATACATTAGATGCTCAACATGTCTTTTGAGTGAATAGATGAGTAACTACCTATGGGTATGCAGAAAAAGAGGTGAGCCTGCCATAATGGGAGTAAGTCCAGGTGAAGTGCTTGAGCATTCTGGGGCTGAGGTGGAGCAGGAGAGAGAAGCTGGGCTGCAAGATTCAGTTCTGTTGTCAGGTTGGGAATTGGGCCAGGACATTTACAGTTGTGGGAGATGATTTTCACAGGAAACTAGTAAGAGTTGAGTTTAGTGTAAAAGGTTTAGTTAGCTAGGTTTGACCTCTACATATACTTGGTTCTGTACGAAGGATCACAACATGTGTTTATCAGTAGGGTTCCCAGAGCAGAGGTGGATTTATGGACAGAACGTCAGCAAATGGCACCTTGTGGAGTGATTATAGTGTCTTCAAGAGTTAGGTCCCTGACAATACTACCCAAAGTAACCCACAGATTCTAGGTAATTTCTATTAAAATCCCAATGATGTTTTTTAAAGAAATTGAAAAATTCATCTTAAAATTCCTATGGAATCTCAGGGAACCCTAAATAGCCATAATAATTTTGAAAAAGAACAAAGTTGAAGGACTCATTCTTCCTGATTTTGAAGCTTACTTCAAAGCTACAGTAATCAAAACAGTATGGACTGGCATAAAACAAACATATAGACCAAATAATTAGAACAGAGACGTTAGTAATAAACCTTTACATATATGGTAAAATGATTTTTGACAGAGGTACCAGGACCATTCAATGGGGAAAAGGACAGTCTTTTCAACAAATGATGCTGGGAGAATTGGATACCTACAAGTGAAAGAGTAGAGTTGGAGCCTTACCTTACAGTATATGGAAAAATTAATTCGGAATGGATCAAAAGCCTAAATGTAAAGAGCTAAACCTATAAAACTCGTAGAAGAAAACAGAAGAAATCTTTATGACATTGAATGTGGTGATACTTTCTTAGATATAATATAAAAGTCACAAGCAACAGAAGAAAAAAGACAAATAGGACTTCATCATAATTAAAAACTTTTGTGATTTCATCAAAGGACATGATCAACAGCGTTAAAATGCAACCCACGGAACGGGAGGGAATGTTTCCAAATCACATATCTGGTAAAAGATTAATCTCCAGAATACATACAGAACTCCTACAACTCAACAATAACAACAAACACAATCCAATTCAAAATGGGCAACGGGCTTAAGTAGACATTTTTTCAAAGAAAATACACAAATGGCCATTAAGCACATGAAAAGATGGTCAACATCACTAACCATCAGGAAAATGCAAATCAAAACCACAATGAGATACTACTTCACACTCATCAGGGTGGCTACTATCATAAAAGTGAGGGTTGGTGAAGATGTGGAGAACCTGGAATTCTTGGGCAGTGCTGATGGGAATGTAATAAAATAGTGCAGGCGCTATGGGAAACAGTATGGGCTTCCTCAGAAACTAAAAACTGAATTACTGTGTAGTCCAGCAATTCTATTTCTGGGTATACACCTAGAAGAACTGAAAGCAGGGTCTCAAAGAGATATTTGCACACCTGCAGTGTACAATAGTAGCATCATTCATAATAGCTAAAACATGGAAGCAACCCAAGTAGCCACTGATGAGTGAATGGATAAGCAAAATGTGGCACATCTGTACAATGGAATATTATTCGGCCTGGAACAGAAGGAAATTCTGACATATTCTGCAACATCTGTTGAGGACATCATGCTAAGTAAAATAAGCCAGCCACAAAAGAACAAGCCTGTGTATTCCACTCATATGAAGTACTTAGAGTAGTCAAATTCATAAAGACAGAATATAGGATGGTGGTGGCCAGGGGCTGGGGGACGGGAGGAATGGGGTGTTAGTGTTTAATGGGTAGAGAGTTTTAGATTTGCAAGATGGAAAGACCTTTGTGGATGGAGGTGTGGATGGTAGCACAACAGTGTGAATATACTTAATGCCTCTGAACTATACAATTAAAAATGGTAAATTTTATGTTATGTGTATTTTACCATAGCTCTTTTCAAAACATCAAGGGTTGAGCTGAGGGGAGAAAAAAAAAACAGTTGGTGGCTTGCAAACATAGGTGAAAATGGACTTTTGTGAATCAAGTTATATTGAAGCAACTTGAATTCACTTGTTAGGAAGAATCATTTTAGGAAGCCTGTGATTGGTCTGTTTGTGTCCATCAGCATTTGCATCGATCAGCTTTGCTCGAGCACTTCTCCATCATGATTCGAATCACTTTCTTTTCCCTTGACCTCTAAAGGTTGATGGTTCCCAAAGAACCTCTTTTTAGGCTCCCTTGTTGTCCTCGCTTCGCAGGGTCAGCCTCCTGTCTTCACATCGCTTTGTCGTGTACGGTTTCTGTGAACTAATGTCTCACACCTGACCTTGCTGCCGGGCTGCGTCCTGAACTGCAGCTATTGGCTGGACATCCCTCCAGCATCTCAAACTGAGTTTGGCCCAAACTGGGCTCATCATTTTTTTTTGTTCTGCTGAATTTCTGGTTTCTGTGGAAGGCATAGAACACTTGGTTTCCAAGGTATAAAAACATACACTTGGGACACCCCCTTTCCTCTCCTTGTCTTCCAGATGAGCTCAGCTGTCAGCCATGTTGCGTTTTCCCTCTGTGACCATCACATTTTTAAAAAATAGAGATGGGATCTCACCTTGTTGCCCAGGCTGGTCTCAACCTCCTGGGCTCAAGTGATCCTCCCACCTTGGCCTCCCAAAGTGCTGGGATTACAGGTGTGAGCCACCATATCTGGCTGTGACCACCACATGTTGCACAGGTGCCCTGCCTGTGTCTGGGTCAGCCCTACACTCCCTCTTGAGTGGATGGCCACAATTGCCTTGCCATCTCTTCACCTCCAGTCTCTCCACACGGGCTACGAACCAGCCAGGGAAAAGCTGGGGAGAGGCTGGTTCTGTTCCCTCTACTAAGGAATCAGACCCCTGGATAAGACTCATACTGAAGGAGAGCAGAACGTGGCACGGATCATAAAGTCCCAAGTGGCTTCTGGCTGAGAAATAGCCCAGGGAGGAGAGGCTGGTTAAGTGGATAGAGTGAGACTACTAGCCTGAGTTTCAAAGTCAGAGGAGCAGGTGCCAAGCCACCAATGGAAAGTGGGGCAGCAGATCCCGTTCCCAGAGGAGGCTGTTGGCAAGAGCAACGCAGGGGCCAGGTCTAGAGTCTGATGGAGTGGGGCTCAGAGCCGGGGACAGCAGGGCTCCATGGGCAGAAGTCCTGTACTCTTCCTGGGCTGACCAGTGCAAGCAGGGTGGCACTTGAACTCAGGGAGTTCACGGTTTCCCCTCGATGCGGGGTAGTGCAGCCTAGGAATTCCTGCTCTGGACCCTCACTTGTATGGGCCCCTCAGTCTGCAATATGCCTCCTCCTTACAGCTTTCACACCTCCAAATCCCACTCAGCCTCAATGCCTAGAGCAGAGCCACTTCGCACCTGAAGTTGCTACTTATTCCGCTGAGTTGTGATGTTCTTTCCTCTTCTTTTTTTTTTTTTTGAGACACAGTTTTGCTCTGTCACCCAAACTGGAGTACAGTGGCAGCATCTCTGCTCACTGCAACCTCCACCTCCTGAGTTTAAGTGATTCTCCTGCCTCAGCCTCCCAAGTTGCTTGGATTATAGGTGCCCACCACCACATCCAGCTAATTTTTGTATTTTTAGTAGAGATGGGGTTTCACCATGTTGGCCAGGCTGGTCTTGAACTCCTGACCTCATGATCTCCCTACCTCAGCCTCCCAAAGTGCTGGGATTACAGGCGTCAGCCACCTCGCCCAGCTGATGTTCTTTCTTGGACCTCTATAGGCTTTTACTTCACCTCCCTAACTGCGCTTCCATTTTCTACCTTGAACTATTGTTACTCAATGCCATTGTACTAGACTAAAAGCTTTCTGTGGGCAAGTCATTTGACAATGAATAGAACACATGGACGCCTGTGTTAGTGTTTCTGAATCCATCGTTCAGTAGCTGTCAGTCTCCACAGGCCTGTTAACGTTCACTGTGGTCTTCCCAGGTGCTGCTAACTCAGTATTTTCAGTTTTCTTTCCCCAGGGAACTTGAGCCTCTTATGTTTTGGGAGACCCTATCAGTAGTTCTGACAATGGACTGTGAAGAAAAGCATTCAGGCCAGTAGGAGAGCCTTTCAAGTGCTCTTTTCCCTCAGGGGTGGCAACTAGCAGTGTTTAAGTCCTCGGCTGCTCTGTCCTCCTGAGTCCCCTGAATAAATGCAATGAGCAAAGCTCCTAGCTGACCTGTGATGAGTGCTTATCTTGGATGAGAAATAAGCCTTTGTTGTTTTCAGCCACTGCAATCTGCAGGTTGTAAGTGCAGCATAGCCCAGCCCACACCAGCACACTGACCCCTTTGGTTTATCAGCTCTAGATGTGACCAGTACATCGCCGCATCCAGCTGGCTGTTGGGTGACCTGATGGAAAGGCCCTGGCAAGGGGAGGAGAGTGCGCTTCAGGCAGGAGAGTGTGCCCCTCATTTAGATGCAGTTGTGCAGGAATGGATGGTCCGTCCCACTCTCCTCTCTAAGGACTGTTCTCTAAATTAATTAAAAGCCACAGGCGAGCAGAGAGATATTCTATCACATTAGAATGTTCTTTTTTTTAATTTTTGGGGCTGCAAAAGTATTTTCCCATGGCTTTGCCAAGTTGTGTTTTACAACGGCCAGCAGGATTCCTCTGCTGGTGGGTGACAGCACTGTACTTCCCAGAAGTAAGTGTATGGCCCACACCCTGAGGGGAGCTTCAGCATCTGGAGGGACTGCTTGTTCAGCTGAACAGCTGAGGGAACAGTGGAGCCCTGAGCGCCGAATGCTTTCCGAGCCACAAGCCTGACAAAACACAGGTGGATTCCAGCCTGAAGGGGTACACAGATATTCCCTGAGCAGAACAAAAACCAGACAGGCCTTCTGCTCTACCACTGATAAAAGGGAAGTGGTTCTCTATGTGAAGCAAAGATTGAAAAGAAAAGCTCTGCGATGTCCTGTGCATGTGCTGGCTGCTAAACCCCAGGAACATAGTGACAAGAGAAATGGGCAAGAGACAGAGATTTAATTGAATAAAAACTCCAGGCTGTGACGGAGTGGGGCCGGGGGGAGGTGGTGGGAAGACACAAAGCAGTAATTAACAACATAATATTTTAAATGACAATGCAATTAATTAACGTCCTGGGTAAGTGCAGCGTGGGAGGAGGGCATCTTTCAGCTCAGAAACACTGCTAAGTAAAGGAGAAGGGAACTTTCCGTGTTTTTTAAAAAAACCTATGTGCAAATGGCCCTGGTTATCACAACTTTATCAAAGCTCACTCACAGCAACAACTCGAGTGGTTTCTCTGGCCAGAGAAAGCCAACAAATGGATCGACTTTGTATTTCAACGTTTTTCTCCTCTGTGAGGGGAGAGATACTGGGCTAGATAATGAAGTTGGCGGATGTTCAGGTTTCATTCATGATTCAGGTTGAGGACTAGTCTCTCTTGAGGGTGCTGGGGTGAGGCTGCAGGAGCTAAAAGCCTCCCTGGGGTGGGCTCCCAAGCCTGTAGGAATAGACCAAGGCTGCTAGAGCAGCAGCGGTTTGCAGCTGGCCAGGGTGGTGTGGGGCTGGCTAGAATCTGTTCAGGAAATGATTTTCTGAAACCACTGGGCTGTTCACTCATGGGAGATAGCCGCTTGGATATAAAAGGGATGTCTCAGACGAGCGATGCTATTGCTATTCACATTGATCACATGCCCTTCTCCAAGAGGTGAGAATGGGTTATCTGCACCTGCCTAAGGGTTTAGCGGTGACAGCTGGACATGCATTTTGAGTTCACTTCCCGAAGGGACTTCTCAAACTAATTTCTGGGTTCCTTATGACCCAGGAAATGCAATCGTCCCCTTTGTAATTGCAAGGCCCACGGCATCTGTTCACTGACGGAAATGACTGTCTTGATGGGGTCAGTCTAGAGTCAGAATCGTAATGAAGTTTGTCACCTTCTAGGAATCTTGTCATGACCTTGGGTTTTTTTCTCACTCTCAAGAGAACATCCAAATGCAGGACTGCCGGACTAGGAAGGCCTGCCAATCACAGGATATTTGGGGAGAAAAGTCATCTTTACACATGAGTCCTAGCCCAAGGCTCAGTACGGGGTAGAGTGTAGGTTTATCTCCATTTACTTTTCGAAGCAGAAAACTCTTTTTATCACAATATCCTGTTAGCTCATGCCCAACCTGGTCATTTTTCGGGCTAGAAGACACTATACAGAGTTATATCAGCAGAGAAATCTGACACCTTGGTTTAAAACGAGGGCCACTTCATTGGTTGCTGCCCCTTTAGCATGTAACACATATAAAGAATAAGACACAGGTGTGGGAACAGATTTTCTCTTCTTGACTTTCCACTGTGAAAAGAAGGGGTTCTCCAGCAGACTTGCCTCTTGCAAGTATTACACACAGCTCTGGGAAGCAGCACTGCTTAGTCACAAGTCAGGTAGAAAATCACCTCCATGCGCTTACTCGGGTTATACAAACTGAGATTGAGCACATCAACCTGGTTTTAGGGGTTGGGGCAAGTCCACTATTAACTGAACAGAAATGTGCTGCTACAACACAGGATAGTTCAAATAATTGTTTTTTCCTAAACTGAGTTTGGCCTAGGGTAGAGATCTAAAGGAAACAAGAAACCCTCACAACCACTGAAACAAACAAAGCGGAAGTACTTAGCAATTTATAGAACTAAAGTTTAAGGTGAATATCGTTCCAGAGCCACAGGGGCTGAAAGAGGCTTACGCTCACTTGGTTTCAAACAAAAAGACACTCTTCATAGAAAGACGGACTTAAACTGTTACTTGGATTTCAAAACTCCCCATTTGGAAAAGAACATTTAATCTAGCTTTTTCTGTAACCTGTTTAGGCATTTTAAACAGTGGCTTGATGCTTCCTGGAATTATAAAGCTATGTATAAAATCATTCCAGAACATACGTATCTCTCTTACTTTACAATGAAGCTTATTCTGAGAACAAAGACCCTGTTTTCAAACAAATGTGATCATTAACTGTGGTGCATCAGAAAACATATGGCATGTTTAGTTTCAGCGGAATCATTCCTAAAGAAAGTTGACTAAGGTCCCATGAGGAATCAAGACGTTTTCGATTCATGAGGAGAGCCAACCAGGAAGGCGAGTGAGGAGCCCTGCACATCAGCTGAAGGCTCACAGGCGCCTCAGAGGTCTTGTGATTTCAACACGGGACTGAGGGTCCCAACGCGATTTACGTCCCGCCAGCAAACAGCTTCAAAGGCTAGTAATTCACCCCACAAAGGCCCTTCCATAAATTCATCTCATTCCTGCAGGGCACTGAAAATCCGGCTGCAGTCCCACCGCGCCTCCTCCTTTTCTGGGGCTGTGGAGACACAGCATTTCAGAAACTCAATCCACCTCTTTCCAAAAGACTATTCATTGTATTTTCTAGAACCAATCTCTGGGCTTTCCGCCCTTTGTCTTTTCCTACTCTTTTTTTTTTTTTTTCTTTTCTTAACGGCAGACCCATAAAAAGTGAAAAACCACAAAAACATCACCTTGGGAGACAGAAAAGACTAAGACAGATCTGACCACATGACAAGTGTCTCGGCCTTGACCTACACAGGAGCAGGTAAGGCTCTGGGTGACGACGGCCGCCGCTGCCGCCGCCGCAACTGCACAATACGGTTTAGACGGTTGAACAAGTGCAAAGAGAACACTGCTAAGTCCCGCTGGGGTTACTCGGCCGCGCAGCTCATGGTGTCGGAGGCGGTTTCGGAGATGGGCACGAGCTCTCGCTGTCGAAGCTGGCAGCTCGGCCCTGCCACTGCAAAGGGGGAAAATCTGGTTATTAATTGCTAACGGAATTCACATTTCAACTTGCAAAACTGAACTGGCCCATGCACTGAATTCCCCTTTCCCAGCTTCTCATAAGCTTTCTTGAATTCTGCTGTCAGCCATGCAAAAATATAAGGGAAACAGCTTAGAGCTTCCAGGCTGGAATACCTGATTTTCAAAATGACCTACTGCAGAGATAAAGCTTTCTGTGTGTGTGTGTGTGTGTGTGTGTGTGTGTGTCTGCGTGTGTGTTAATGAGGTGCTATGACTGGACCATTTCTGAGTGCTTCAGCCATTTTTTCACACTGAAAATCATATCATATTAGTAGCGAAAGAGGCAGTGTGCAGAATATGCCCTTACTGCCAAGAACCCATGGTCATGAATTATTAGCGATTTGTCTGGGAGCTGATAGTACAGCTAAAAACCGGATACTGCTCCAGCTTTGAGCTGTCTCCTTCGGTCTTCACTCTTCCCGTGGGCATTTGCACCTGACTTGCGGAGAGGTAGAGGTGTGAGCAGACCCTTCTTGGCTTCTGCAACCCCTTTTTCCTCCCCAGTTCTCCTAGCTCACAGACTGCCTCTGTGAAAGGGGTGATGTCATGAGGCGTAATGGAGTGAAGGAGAGGGCTGAGGCTGGTGGACTTGAGCCATTCAATCCTTTAACCAGTCAGAGCTGCAGCGGTCATAACCACAGCAATGTTTACTGAGCAAGGATCTGACCCCGTGAATTGACCTGCCTGGGGACTTTATGTTAATAACTTCCAAGTGAGTCAGTGTCCACTGCCCACCCATCCTTGGAGTGGGTTGAAGAGACCCAGTACTCTCCTGGGTGTCTGCGGGACAGAGCTCCAGAGACAGAGGTAGGTGGGTGGTCAAGATGGCCTTCCTGAACCTGAAGTGCAGCCCCTTCTGCTTCTCATGAGCACCGATGGTCTCCACTGTGGAATGGTGGGGCTGAGTAAAAGCTGCAACTGCGTATCTGTGCATGCATGGAGGGTCGGGGTCGGGGAGGATGTGGTTCTCCCTCGATATAGCCATTTCTAGAAGGGCTGAGCAACCTGAGAATAGATCACTTTCCATCCAGCATCACCTAGGGAGTAGATGGGAGACCCACAGAATTGAGGAAGGATCCAGACCTACTAAACTACCTTAATGGTTTCAATTCTAAGGAAAGCTTCTGTTACCATTCTCCGGGCTTAGTTCTTCATGGGCCCCTAAGGGCTCTCTGTGCAGGCCAAAGGAAGGTCTTTATGACTAAGCAAGGGCCGGACAATCAAGGATTGATGACCACCGTTCTGTGACCTAGACTGGAGCAATCTTAGCATGTCAGAACTGGAGGCAGGCTTGGGAGCCGATCTAGTCTAACCTTCTTGTTCTTGCAAATAAGAAAACTAAGACGGAGAAGTCAAGGCACAGCTAGCTAGGGGCAGAGCCAGGAGCTGAAACCAGGTCTCCTAACACCCAATTAAATGTTCTTTCCACTCCATCCTGCTGCGATCTCAGCATCTGGCCTCACTTGGGGAAGAAGGAGACAAAAGGTAGTAAGCAACCTAACATCTTCGGGTGCACACCGGGTACTTACTCCTAACTCCAGGTGGCAGTCTCTCTGCTTGCGGCATCCACGTGAATGAAATCACAACCGAGGTTTTCCCTGGTGAAATATTTTAGATCAATAAATGCCTGGTTGTTGAGCCCTCTATGGCTTCTGACTCAAGTGTTTCTTACCCAGAAGGTGACAACAGGTGATTACTAATGCTCTCATTTAACAGACCTTCATTTTAGGGATTCTACTTTTCTATTACAACCTTTACAGTTGGTGAAACGTACGTTATAATCACCGGCTTCTTCCCTGGGTAAGCATGCCACTTAAACCTGACTGACCGGCAAGGTCAGAGGAGGAAACACAAAAGGGTTACACTGAGTGTGTTTCCTCCTTTATATAACAGCCCAAAGAGTAGTCACAGGGAGCATAGCTATTTATCCAGAACAAATGAAGAAGGAACAGTGGCTCCCCGGCTAGTCCAAGTCTTCCTATGAAGATAAACAAAGGGAGGAGATGGGGCTTGTGGACCGTGGGAAGGCGAATGATTCTAGGAGGCTTACAGTGGCTCTGGAATAGCAGCATACCTGTCCCAGCACACAGGGAAATTATTGTTCCAGAATGCCTGTGTTCCAGTAAGGGCTTTTGTTGCTCTGAAATGGGTCACATTCCAACAGAGATGTAACATTTCTGGCAGATGATCTGAACCTGGCCCCCCGTAATAAAATGCCTTGGAGAAGAGCGCTGGTCAGCCCTGTGTGTGTGGTAACAACGATGATACGTGGCTGTGGGCTGAGAGGGAAGGGGGCCGGTGCCACAGCCGGCGAAGGCCACTCGTGATGGCTCGTGAATTTTTATTCATGAAAGAATTCCAGCAGGGAAAGACCCCGTTTCAGTTAATTTGTTCCCCTCAGCCTTATTTTGAGCCCTCAAACAAGCAAGCAAGTGTGATGCCCTCTGTTCTCACTAATAAAAAAGAAATGGTCCAATTCATCTTAAGGGATTAATGAAAATCCCTTACGAAAGGTGCAAGATAAATACAGAACGCTTTGCAGATATGATGCCATTTATCTTCCTGGGAGCTAGAGGAGATTTCTTTATGATTATACAAATGGGAGACACAAATTTCAGGAGCAAAGCTCTTGCTCAATATCCAGAACAGGAACGAAAGAAGGCAGGATGTGAGCTCTGAGGATGAGCTGGAGGATCGCCTCCAAACACAATGCATCACATGGACACAAGGTGCTTACTTAATGTCAGCCCTGTGGGGGTTTACATGCGTTTTAATAAAGATGTTGAAACTGCGGGAGCTAAATGTGTTGGCAACAATTTTAAACAAACGGGAACTGTAGAAATCCCAGGTTGCCAAGACGAGTGCCATTTTCAGCTTCTTGATACAGAGAATGATCAGCTGAGCAGAAAATGGTGGGATTGTGCGTTGGGGAGGGGGCATTCCTGGGAGCTTGGCCCAAAGGATATCCATTTATTCTCTTTTGTTTTCCATATACTGTTACTTTCCCTTTACGGTCTCATCAAATATTCATTTTCAAGGGCTCGATTCTACTTTATCTTTCTTTTGCAGTCTGAAGCAATGAAACCAAAGAAACAGGGATTTCCAATCAATGATTTGGCTTAATTAGGTTGTATTCTTCATGAAGGAGAGTGATTCTGGGGCCAAGTCCTGGTCCCTCCACGTCCTCAGCACCCCACCCCCAGCTGTAGCCACTGTTCTGTCACTTTCCATTTCCCACAGGCAGGCCCAGCCTGGTAAGGGATGGGTTATTGCAGATTCAAGATTAGAAAGGCAGTCACAGCACAAGATGGGGGCTCATGGGCCCAGCCATCATGTAGGGTCACAGTTTCCTAGAAAGGTAAAGCTGGGCAGTGCTTATCCCCTCATTACAAAATAACCCAAAGACCAGAGTGGGGCAGTAGGTTTTCTAAGGCCCTACAGCTGACCAGAGGCCTCTTAGCTGTCATTCCATGCCCTCCCCCTAAGTCACCATAAACAGTTTAGTATACTTGTTCTATTCTTAAATATCACCAAAGGATGATAAATGGGTGGAGAGAGGGGTGGGGGGGTTCGGGGGGCTGTCACGACCCCTCCCTGGGTTGACCCAGCACAGCCTTTAGTGAGGTGCTGGATGCCGTCTGCAGGTTGGCTAGTGTTCGGCCCAGCAGTGCCTCCTGTTTTGTGGGCTCCTCACCCACACTCTGCAGAAAGGGCCTTCTGGAAAAGAGGGGCAGGGGCTCCCCTGAGGGAGCTGAGAGCTGAGGGACTGGCCTCACGCATTAAAGCTCCACAGCTGTGGGAAAATCAAGGTACCCAGAAGACAGAACTATGAGGCCTCAACTGCCAGAAACTGCTTCTTTTCACCGCCTTGATGCCGCCTCAAAGGTCACAGGGCAGGAGCTGCACAGAGCAGATGCTTCCTGTCTGGGTAGGTGAATCAGTGAGCCTGCCCCCGCCCCCCCATCAATCCAAGGTCCCTATCACCCATGTCTCCAGGGGTCCAATCCCCTTGGCTCTCAGATTCTCTTGGGATACCTCACCTTGCCGGGAACAGGTGGAAATGGGCTCGTCTTCCCTGAGAGGGCAGGGAGCCAGCAGGTTCTCAGGCTTTGCCGCCCTGACTTCTCTGTATCATAGATTGTGGGGATGGGATGACACTGTTTTGAAGGGGACTCCAATTTTAAGCCAAGGGCCATGCAGTGGAAGGGATAAAGCTTCATTTTTGTATTAGTAGAATTTCCAATTTATACAGCTCTCTAGATTTGCTAGGTTTGAAGTCTGTTAAGATGCCAGAATATTCACCCAGCTTTCTAGGATATGGACCAAGGGATGAGATATTACGAGTGAGGTTTGAGCCTTGTTTGGTCACCCACACTTCCAATCCATTTGAGAAGAAGCAGGCCTGGGGACCACCAAGGTGACAGAACACAGGACCCTAAGTCGGTGGGGTTCAGTGGAGGGTGGAGAAGTTGGCAGTTATCACTCAGGGGATATTGTCTTTGCAATTGAGAGAGAACTGACAGGTTCAAGATTATACAGCAAGCCTGGAGGGGCCAAGATTGGAACCCAAGTCTCAGAACTCCCCGGCCCAGTGCTCTCTCCATTATGTCTCTGTTAGAATCCAGCGCAACCCAGCCCCACAGCTTTAGCCAGAAAGCGTGACACCTTGAGGCCATGCTCCCTTTGCCAATAAGGGCGAGAACCCACATCCAGAAGAGGAGGAATCTGCTCCTTGGGATGTCCACCCGAGCAGTGAAAACGGCTAAGTGACGGCCTTGCTTGAGCCTCAGGGAACTTACTGTTCCGACCGGGGTAGAATGTCTTGCCAAGCTCTGATCTCACCCCCTTGGGGCTTTCTCTTAAAGGACCGACTTGGCCAAGGGCTTTGTGAAAGCATTTCAGGCCTGGCACAGTGGTCTGCTGGGAAGTTTTCTTCAAAGTTCTTGCTTTCCATTAAGAATTCAGTGTTGCCTTCAAAATGCCCAACACCAGGGACTTTGTGTCAGCGGCCTCCACCTGCTTCCTCTGATTCCTTTCAGCCTATTACACACTGGGGAAGAAGCATGTGGCCCCCAGGCCCACCTTTCCACAAAAGGCCAAGGGTCTCACTGCAGCCGACTGCCATTCTCCAGCCCACACTGCCATGCAGCAAACATGCCAAGGGCCAGGCGACCTCACCCACCTCTTTGAAGGATTTCTTTACCTCCACCAAGGAGTGCCAGTGTGCGATGGGCTTCCGGGGGTATGCCAGCATCTCATTCCAGTGGTCCCTGCCCAGCCCTTCAGCATTGATTCCCACACGACAGACTCCTATGATCTCATTGTGGCCCACTCTGAGGGAGAAACAAAAGTCCCAGCATTGGCTACCAGACATGGCCTCAGAAAAGGAGGTCTGCTGGGGGTGGTGGTAGGATTCTGCCCAGTGGGTGTAACTCAGAACTCTGAGCTCTGAAAACATGCTTGGCAGGGCCTCAGGGTGTCAGTGGCAGTGAAGCTTTGCCTAGTCCCCTTCAGTGGACACTGAACACAGACAGATAAGCAAAGGTTATAAATTTGTTTGGAATCTCAAGAAGTGGTGAGCAGATGACCTGGGTTTGGGAGGTGAGAGGTTCTAAGTCCCTTCACTTATTTGACCCAGGCAGCACGTTACAACCTCACTGAGACAGCTGCATCTGCAAATAAATCAACGGTCTCTGAGCACCATTTCTCCAAACGCCCAGTGGCTGAAATGTGATTTATTCACTCAGTAAGAGCATCAATTATCCCTTAAGTGTGTTCGTCAAGCATCTACTACGCCTGAGAACTTGTGCTAAAAATCCCGAATTGAGGCTTTAGTGCACGGTTTCTTTCTCCTTTAGCTAAAGTGACAACTGGAGAGGAGTTATGGAGGCTGGAGTAGCTGAAAAATGTTTTTGAGCCAGCCTAGATGGAAGTGCAGGCTGTGTGGAAGAGAAGAAAAATATCTGAGGAAGGGGAAATCCCATGGGATGGATATGCTGGGTCCAGAAGGCCGTACAGTGCACAGGAAAGCCTGGATCACAGGAGCCATTGATGGTTCTTGAGAAGGGAAGGTCCAGGAAGAAAGCTGTCATGTGGGAAGATGCGTCCTTAGTATGCTGGCTGAATTGGGGCAGGAATTGATGGAGGCAGGGGTCAGCTAGGAGGCTGCACAGCCATCCCAGGGTGAGAGTTGTAGCAACAGCAGAAATAGGATAGAGGGGCACTTCAAAGGCCAGATAGTAGGACTTGGTGCCAGATAGAAGAGTGGGAAAAATAAGGGGTGAATTCAGGGAAACTGATGGCTAGAGCTGCCCCTGATGGAACTAGGGCAGTTGGGATAAGAACTTTGAACCCTTTGCTGAGTGGGAATCTATGCTCTTCCTCAAACTCCTCTACCCTTCTTAAGTGCAGACAGATTTGAGGCCTGGTCCCTGAAGCTGAGCCCTGAACCGCAAGGTCTGAGGTCAAGGAGCCGTGTGCGGCGCTGGGGTGGGCCCCTCCGGGCCGCCTACCTACCGGTCATAGTCCATGACTGAGATGAGCAGGCTGACTTGATCCATGTTTTCCGGGGGAATGTCAAAGATGATGGCCTCGTTGTAGACAGGATTGAGAGTGTTTTTCTTTATGGTTGTTTTCTTTTTCTTCAGCCTCCGCCCATCGCAAAGCAGGGACACTTTGACATAGGGATCTGTGCCAATGGGGGCAGAGGAAAGGGAATGGAGTGTGTTAAACAGATGTCCGCAAACATCATTTGCAGCAAAGGGACCGAAACCCTAGACCTACTGCTGCTCATCAGATGGTATCAGTGGGTTGTTAAAATAATTAAAGCACCTCGTATTTATGTAGCACACCTGCCTCTGAGGACGCTCTGTGCTTAATAAATGCAGAGTCTTTAGCTACCTCAGTATTCTTGGGAGAGCGCCTAATGGATTTTTACTAATGGGGAAGCTGGCCCCAAATCAGACATGACACCTGCCGATGGGTACGCAGTTCATAGCCCTAAATCTCAGCTCGTCGGCCGCTGGCTGACTCAAAAGGATGATGAGGCTGAACAGTGACACGGTTTCTTTCACCTATGTGGAGTCCTTTTCTCTGACTTTTTTGTTTTGCCAGAATTATAAACCAAAGGATAAAGGTTGTGGGGGAGGGAAAAAATAGGACTCAACAATGGCCAAGGAGACACAATGTGTCAGAGTGAAATGAACCTCAACGGTCACAATGCTGTTCATGTCCTCCCCACCCGACAACATAATTGTGGGTCCCATTGTCTCAGTAATCTTATTTCCATTTGGCATCCACAAGGTGGGAAGTGGCCCTGCTCTCTGCTTCCCTGGAAGCCGTTTCCTGCCCACTTCTGGGTGGTGGAGGCAGAGGGAGCTGTGGCCCCGGGAGACTCAGGGCAGCTGGTTGACATTTCCTTCCTCAGTGGTATCTTGGATTCTCTCCATCCTGCCAATATAAGCTTTTGTTGAACTTCCACGTACCTCCCACCCTTTTGTTTTCTTTAGCTTTCTGAATGGGTATTTCTTGGTCGTCTTTCTACCCTGAAATTTTCTCCTCATCCAAGTGAAGTGACACCTATTGTATCTCATAGCACAGGTGTCCCGGTCAGCATCGTAATTGCTATTTATGCCTCGCAGCTCAAGAAATGGGAGGGCGGCTCACAGGTAATGATGGCTTTTGAGACACTGATGCGCTGAGACACCTTGTTGCCCAGAAGCCAGGGCTCCTGTGACTCTGTCAGGAGCTGAGCAGCTGCTCCCAGCTCTGTGATTCATAGGCGCATGGTTCTATCTCCTGGACATTGAGCATCCACTAGGCCCCTGGACTCCCTGGCATCATCCAGACTTCAGGGTGCTTAGGAGCTGTCTCATTCCCCTGCTCCGCCTTATTTCCTTCAGATGAGGCACACATCCACGGTGGAACCAAGGGAGAACCACAACACCTGACCGGAAACCCCCAGCCTTAAAGGCATTTCCGTAGAGCTGCGACTAATCCATGTGACAGCAGTAGCTTGCCTTAACTATGGGGACATGAGGTTGGGTTTATGGGGAGACCATAAGGTGTTTAATCGGCCTGCTATCTCTAACTGCACATTTTTAAAAACCTTGTCTCAGGGGGATTTTCAGTAAACAGGAAGTAGCAGTTTTGAGAACTGGCATGAGATGGCTTCCTGGTTTTCACAGATTCCATTCTCCATGGATATGCCCCAGGACGTGATTCAGGTCCAGGTAGACAGATGGTCAGAGCTAGCCCCAAGACCCGTCTTTAACACAGCAGCTTGCAAGCTCCGCCAGGATGTACTTCGCCTTGCAAAGTGGCTCCAGACTTCAGGGTGCTTAGGAGCTGTCTCATGCCTTATTTCCACACACTCCTATGTAAGAGCAGATTTCCATATCATGAAGCTTGAAAAATAGAGGCAGAGCCACTTGTCCCATGGGCCACTGGACAAATGCTTTTAGCAGCCTTCCCCCAGTCTGTTCACCCCTACAACAGACTCCCAAATAGCTGGGATTACAGGTGCATGCGACCACACCTGGCTAATTTTTTGTATTTTTGGTAGAAACAGGGTTTCGCCATGTTAGCCAGGCTGGTCTCAAACTTCTGACCTCAGAACCCCTCAGGTGATCTGCCCACCTTGGCCTCCCAAAGTGCTGGGATTACAGGAGTGCGCCACTGCCCCTGGCCGGTGTACCCATTTTTTTTTTTTTTTTTTTTTTTTTTAAAGACAGGGTCTTGCCATTTTGCTCAGTCTGGTCTTGAACTCCTGGGCTCAAGTGATTCCTCCACCTCAGCCTCCTGAGTAGCTGGGATTACAGGCATGCGCCACTGTGCCTGGCTGCATTTGAAATCTCTAAAATTCAGTGGACATATTTCCCTTGCAGGAACCAACACTTTCACCAGCATCCATGAAGCCAAGCAGACACATGACTGTTCCCTAGGCTTTTCTGGGGCAAAAGCCCGTGGTTTCTAGTGGAATGCTGGCCCCAAATGATCCTGGAGGTCCTTCCTCTCTAACAGCCTATGATGCTCTACGCAGCTCAGGGAGGGGACACAAAGAACAGCAGTGTATTTCAGCCTCATTATCATGGGAGCCATCAAAATTCAGCATTTAGAATGCACTCACCACCCCTTTGTAGCGTACTGGTCCTTATTATTATTTTGTGCTATTTTTCGTGTTGTGGTTCTAGCAGATAGGCTTAGACAATTGGTTCAGGGCTAGTTTAGATCATGGAGAACAGGAAGATCCTGGGTTTTAGATGTCAGTGCCACACAATCCAGGAATAGGCAGTTAATAAGCTCCATTCACTCCCAGCTTAGTCCAACATCAGATAAGTCTGGGCTGAGGGTAAACTCAAACTCATCCTCAAGAACAGGAGATCTAGTTTGAGAGGCTCCTAGCAAGCACACCCCCTCTGCTTCACTCTTGGGACGGGTTCCTCATGCTGTAAATTCAACCATCCATTCATTCAGTGCCCATTTATTGAATGCTTACTGCGTTTTACCCCCGTTCCTGATACTTGCTTACATCAATGACCAAGACAGACAGAAGTCTGTAATGAAAAGAGGACCCTTGCATCTTCGGAATCAAGCCAAGGTTTAATACCAGGTTCCAAACCCAGGTCGAAAAGAGGGGCAATTGTGAGAGGCAGGTCAGAACTTAGCATGAAAACAATCTCATACCCCAAACCCTCTGATTCAGAGCAGCTTTTGTGATGACCTCAGCTTTCTCTCCAGCACATCAGTTTAATTACACCAGAGAAGACAGTGTGGGGACTTAGGCAGCAAAATCCTATTTCCCTCAGCAGCCTCAAGAGTCTTCAGTGAATTTTCTTCCCTGTTATGCACTTATTTTGGTATTAAAATGAAATCTCTATTGGCTATATTTTAGGGGAAGCTGACTTGCTGCTGCCTAAGCATTTCCCAGGCCAGAAGAGGTCAGTTCATCTCTTCCCCGTGTCCTGATGTGTGTGGGTAGCTCCGATGGACTCAGAGCTGCAACAAACACAGGTCACTCTAGGATTCCCTGACCACCTTGTCCTGAAACTTTAGTTTTCAAGGCCTGATACCTCCTCTTCGTCCAGCCGCACTAGGTCACGCCTGAGCCAGGTGTTTTGGGCTGGGGCATCACCTCCTTCCAGCAACTGATCATACGGAAGACTCAAGCTACTCCTCTGCTGTTTCCAAACTCAAATACCTTCTTCCACAACTTAGGAGTTTTCCAACAAATAACAAAAAATACAAAGCAAATATGAGGAAACCTCTTTAATATATTCCCATCTAAGTTCAGAAGCACCTCCTGAGTGGCTTTACGTTGCAAAGCTGAGTCAGTGAGAGCCTCTTGAGCAGAAGAACGGGGGGATCTAGGAAAACAAACCGAGCTTTTGTCTACACTTGCAATTCTGGGTGCAGCCCAGACCATCCTATGTGCCCATCCTTTGGGAGGTTTCACCCCATTTCACTCCTCAGAGCAGTCCGAGCTGATGAGGGAAGGAGGCTCCCGAGACTCAAGCTGCTTATTCCACAACAGCCTGCAGAACTGTAGGGGACGCAACCTTCTGACACGACGTCCAGCCTGCAGGACTCTGTGCAGCTGCCTCCAAACAAGCATTTCCTCTGCCGCTAGAGTAGGACTCTATTTCTATGTTCCTGCTGTACCTAGCGGCTATCTTCGTGCCGAGGCCAGGAGGCCTGCAGCAGAGTAGGACTCTATTTCTATGTTCCTGCTGTACCTAGCGGCTATCTTCGTGCCGAGGCCAGGAGGCCTGCAGCAAAGCCTCAAATACAAAAGCGTTTTGTTTTCAGTGGATTTGTTTCGTTGCCTCAGTGTATAGAAACGGTGCCATCGGCCTGCAGGGACCGACTAACATTTACATACTCAAACTTGACACAACCTGGGGCCTCATATAAACAAGAAAACTTATTCTCAATTTTTAAATCCTATACGTTTACTTCTTATTATCTCTCTCTTCTACGAGAAAGAATGACAGTCACAGATGATAGTTACTGAGTGCTTGTATGAGGCACCATTCTGAACATTTACACGAATTAACTCATTTCTCCTAAAAGCAATCCACAGAAGGTATTATGATTATTATTTTATTTATTTGTTTATTTATTTTTGAGATGGAGTCTCGCTCTGTCACCAGGCTGGATTGCAGTGGTGCCATCCACTGTAACCTCTGCCTCCTGGGTTCAAGTGAGTCTCCTGCCTCAGCCTCCCGAGTAGCTGGGACCAGAGGTACAGGCCACCACGCCCAGCTAACTTTTGTATTTTTAGTAGAAACAGGGTTTCACCATGTTGGCCAGGATGATCTCGATCTCCTGACCTCGTGATCCACCCACTTCAGCCTCCCAAAGTGCTTTTCAGACTAGAAAACCAAAGCATTTACACAGCAAGGAAGGCAGAACTGGAGTTCAAATCCAGACAGTTTGCATCCAAAGCTGGTCCTTCTAAGAATGCTGACAGTTCTTTCCCCCTCTCCCCAAATACCCTTCCAAATCCTAACGTCTGGGCTGCTGGCAGGCCACTCGGGTTAAGAGAGGTACCTGAATAGCCTGTGATGTCCATCGCCTTGAGGTTCCGACACTTAATCACCGTGAGGGTGAGCCTGCCTGCTGTGGGCAGGTAGCAGAGGGAGAACATGATCTCTCCCAAGTCCACGCTTTCCTGCAAAGAAGCAGACAAGAGGGCAGATGAGGGCTTGCAGGCCATGGGCCTCTTGTCCTGTGCAGTGTCTGTTGAGGCTCTCTGGGGTCAGGAGGAGGCTCTTGGAGACACAGTGTCGTGTCTCTAAGACCAATGGACTGGGCGCCATGCTGCGAGTAACCAGGTATAAAAGGCAATGAAAACATTATTGCCTCTTCAGTACAATTTGCCCCTTCCAATATTCCCTCTCAGTGTCAACCACATTCTGACTCTGGTCCTTGCTGATCTGCTTTGGCCTGACTTGCTCTCCGTGCACCCCTCGGCTGCAGCCTCCAACCACCAGTCCCTTTACAGCCTCTTCCTGTTCTCCTCCAGCTTCCCCTTCTCAGTCACTGACCCCCTTGACTTCCCGCCCATCCAAGCATGTGGTCATGCCAGTGTCCTGGACAAGACGCATGCCCTAGCCTTCAGGTGTCCCCTCTCCCAACAGGTCCATGATTCTTTTCTGCTTCTGCCCCTCAGTGCAGTCATTCTTTGTCAATCACTGCCAACCAAGGAGACACACACCTGCCATCCCATTTGATGGTAAGTGTTTGACACCAGGCCTCAGGTCCACTTTCTCTTTTCTCCTTAAATGTGGTCACCCTTTAAAAATAAACCCAGAACAGAGCACACGCTCTGCTGCCTCTCCCGCCCCCAGAATCATCATGGCCAGGGATTCCTGGGAGTTTCTGAGAGCACAGAAAAACCTCAAAGACAGTAAGCGCACCCATCTGTGGCATTAAACAGTGCCTTGGCAGGTTGCTTCCTCCATCTGATGAAGGAGGGTGCTGTCATGGAAGCCTTCTCCTGTAGGTTTGAGGAGAGACTCCAAGATATGGAGATACTTGCTCCCATAGGGCTCCCAGAGTCAGGTTTGAGGGGAGGAGTTCAGGGTTTAGGGTGATTTCAGATGAGGCTCTCCCTCCGCCCAGTCAGTAATTCGGTCTGCCAACAAATATTTATTGAGCACCTTCCATGTGCTAAGTGTTGATCTGAGTGCTTAGGATACAGGAAAGAACAAAACAGACAAAAATCCCTGTCTTCATGAAGCTTACATTTTAAAAAATAATTTCAACTTTTATTTTAGATTCAGATTCAGGGGTACATGTACAGGTTTGTAAATGGGAATGTTGTGTGATGCTGAGGTTTGGGGTACACATGATCCCCCCCACGCAGGTAGTGAGCATAGCACCCAATAGTTTTTCAAACCTACCCTCCTTCCTCCCTCCCTCTGTCCCTCCTGACTCTAGCAATGCCTAGTGTCTACTGTTGCCATCTTTATGAATGGAGCTTTCATTTTATTAGGGCAAAGGACAAGAAAAGAGGTAAGTAAGTAAGTTAGATAGTCAGAAGTATCAAGGAGGAAAAAAGACAGAGAAGGGGAATATCAAATGACCAGCAGGAGGCTACAGCTATTGAATTTTTGGCCAGAGAAGGGCTCCCTAAGGAGGTAATGACTTCCGGGAAAGAGAGGAGGCAAGGGTGACACCAGGGCTTTTGTCCATTGTCCTTGTAAAGAGCCACCTGTCCTGGAGACTCCTAGAGCCCTGGTCTCCCCTGGAGAATAAGCGAAGGCCCCATCTCCCTGACCTCCAGAGTCTGCACTCCCAACACTCTCTTCTAGGTGGCCCTGACACCCACCCCTTCCTAGCCCTAGATTTGTCTTTTTGTCCATGCCCCTAAATAAAATCACCCCCAAATCAAATTCCAGTATAGCAGAAGGTGAATACCCCCAGCTTTCCAGGAAGGGCCTGGCTGGGGCTGGGGCTGGGCCCGCTGTGGAGACAGCCACCCCTCTGGCACACAACCCCGTGGCCTCCACAGAGCCAGCTGCACTGCCTCCAGGAACAGCACTTCCAGCTGTGAGGCTCCCAGCAACTCTCCGAGGCAGGGCTTTCTGCACTCCCCTCCATTTCACAGACGAAGAACTTGCTCAGGTTCACAAGCCTTGCCAGCTGCTTGGACTTGGCATTGATCCTGTGGCAGGGGGAAGATCTGCATCACATCTGGCTAAATAGGCCCTGTCTCACAGAGGCCCCAAGGTAAGAAGAGAAGCCCCTTTATTTCCCTTAATAACCCTCCAAGCCCCAAGTTACTGAAACCCTCTAGATTCAGTGAGCACAGTACTGGGAACCCACCCACTGGACACGCACTGTGTGCCAGGCCGCTGCTAAGTACTTTGCTAGCTTACCTGTGGATGAATCTAACCTCAGCCCTGTGAGGTAGGTACGGTCTCTCATCAGCCCTACTGCACACAGGAGAAAACGAATGTTTTGTGAAGTTGAATATCTGGCCAAGGCTGTGCGACTGGTGAGTGGTTTGGTGCCAGATTTTCCTATATCAGTGCCATTGCTCAAACACCTTCAGCGGCTCCCCCCGTTCGGCTTGTGTGATTAAGCCTCATCTTCTTAGCTTGCACTTGGGGCTTCCAGAACCTGGGCCCTGTCTAACCTCCCTGCCTGCGGCTCTCTCCCTTGTCTATGCCAACCCTCCGCCCCACACGGCTGGTACATCTTTGGTCCTTTATGCCCTTCTCCTCTTGGCTTGGATGCTCCGATACCTACATCACGCCCCCACACCACACCCCTAAGGGTCCTCACCCCGGGGCCAGACCATAGCGAGCATCTCTCCTCCACACCCCTGCAGGGCTTCCTGTCCCTGAACAGCTCACGGGAGCCACCAAGTCCCCTTTGCCCTGCAGCTGTGCCCCCCAGCATCTAGTGGCGAGAGCCCCCTTTGGGACAGGGTCCTTGCTTTGCACCTGCTTGTGCTTCAGTGTGGCCAGCAGGACACAGAGCAGCTACAGAAATGTTCACAGAAAGGGGCGCTTACGTTTTAGTAAAAGAACTTGGGAAGGACTGGTTCTTTGCGCAGTGTTGTGATCAAGTTAGAGCCCTGGAAAGAACTCTGGAAGCTCCTGTGGCCCCTGAGAGGGAATGAACAAATGGCCACTGTCACATTTCCCCACCATACCGTGTCCTACAGATGCAGAGTTGCCTGTGCTTTCACAGGCTGTCTCATCTGGGGGAGTCTGAGTGATTTGTTACGGACCTGGGGGGCTTGCCTGGGGATATGAGGGGTCCCTCGGGGTAAGCAGCATCACCCCAGGCTCTATGAACTGCTCTCAAGGATGGCTCCCTCCAGGGGAGCAGTGACCCGCAGACCTCCCTGGATTTTGCAGGACTCCTGCCCTTTCTCATAGGACTGTGCCAGCTGGGGACATGCAGGTGCTGAGTCTGCAGTGTGGTGCTGCACCAAAAGTGAACTGTGCTCTCCATCCACGGGCGCAGCCAGGTGAAAGGACTGGCCCAAGATCCCACTGTGACCTGGAGGCAGAGAGGAAACCAGGGCCAGAAGTCCAAAGCCTGGACGGGGCTTCTGCGCGGGGTGGCTGCCCTCACGGTGCCTGGTGGCGAGGCCGCAGCTCTTGGCTCCCTGTTCCCCTGCAGAGGACTGGATTATTTAATAAGGGAAAATAAACAGGTTAATTTTGAGTAAATAAGAGATGAGGGCTGAGCAAACAGAGTCAGCATCTCCTGCTAGTCACTCTCTCTCGCTGGAAAGCCAGGCCCCAGCTCAGCCCTCACCAGGTCCTCTCTCTGCACTACCTGCTCTTGAGAGGTTTCAGTTGGATCCCACATGGCTTACCAGCCTTTTATCCTCATTAGAGGTGTTTGAGACTTTGGACTTCAATAAAACCAGGGTTACCGGGGGCTTCAGAACAGCCAGCACATTATTGCTTTCATCTTCACCTGCTGTCAGGAGAGGCTGCCCGAGGGCCCCCGACTGGTAATGAGCTCTCTGGTGCAGGAGAGGTCACTGCTGTCCGGAAAGCAGCAGAAGCCAGCGTCGCCTTCTAGACTCCTAACCTAGGAGCGGAGAGTGTAGGTCTGAGCTTAGCAGCAGCTGGCTGAAGGTCTTGGCTGGTGCTTGCAGGAGGTTGACCTGCTGCCAGGGGAGGGGAAACGAGGATATTGGCTTCTGGAGAAACCTGTCCTTTAGTGCAACTTGACGTCGCTGCCCATAATAGTAGCATTCTCCTTGGCTGCAGTGCCCAGGGCGTGGGCATCTGGGGATTCTAAAGGGCCCACCTATCCATTGTACAACACTGCACTGCCTGCCTCCCCTGCGCCCATCTGCAACAGCGGATTAAAGCACTTCTCTCTCCTTGATACAGTCACGTAGTCCTGGGCATAGGAAAAGAAATCCTATTTGTGGGCTGCCCACGAAGGAGCGGTGAACCATGAATCAGGAGACCTGGACTTTAGATTCTCTGCCCCAGTTAGCTGTGAGAACTTAAGCTGTCTCTGGTCCTTGGGCTATACAATGAAGGGGTTGTTCTCGATGAGATGATGTATGCTCAAGGTCCCTCCAGCCATGAGAACCCAAGATTCCAACTGGAAAAATCCACCAGCCATCACCAACTGAGATGACTCAGGGATGCTCAAGTGGTCTCTATCGCTCAACTCAAGGAATCTAGTAATTTCATTTTGAAATCCAAATGCTCCCATTTCTTTAGTCCCCATTGCCCCTCAAATGTTTTGTTCTTCTCCAAGGCCAGCCATGCCTCCTCCTAAATAAGCAGTGAGTGGTGTCGGTGCCTCTGAGTCTGTCTTGGGAATGCAGGCAAAGCAAAGTAAGAACAATGGTTCCCTATTTCTTACAGATCACTTTTAGTCTCTTAGTCATTAAGTGGCTTGTCTGAATCTCTCATCATCAGCAGAGAAGCATCCGCTCCACTTTCAGGAAAGCCATAGGAGAACTAAAAAGATCTCAGAAGCACTGGGCAGGAAGTGCCGCTAAGTTCCCTAGGGGTTGTGGGAGGGTTGGGGCACTGGAAGAGAGATGGGGTGGAAGCCAGTTGGACTCCAGTGGATAGAGAAACATTCATTGAGCAACCCCGCATTGCAGGCCTGGGGCTCGGTATTAGGGGTACAGAAATGAGTCAGACATGGAAGCCAGATACTTGAAGCTGAGCC